CATAATTGCATTTGTGACGAATATTTTTTTTGTGATGAATAAAATTGTTATGAATAACTTGTTAATAATGTTAATTTTTTTTATCACTATAAAGTTATTTTCTATGACAGGTGCCTAATTTGTCATTAAGAGCATTAATGACAAGGGTTTTACTAACGATTTAAATTTTATCACTAATAATAATTTGTAACGAAAAATAAAGATTTAATGATCAATAATTTAGTCACTAAATGTGAATTTTTTGGTAGTGTGAATTTGAAGGCTGCCCTTTTGTTTTCCAGCATTTCCTTCCTTCTAGGCATCAGAAGTCTGACTTTCTGATTGATAAAGAAGGAAAAGAAAGCAAAATTTTGAAAGAGATTGAAAACCTTTAGCCATTTTTAGATATTTTGAAATCCAGAAATGAGTGCAATCAATGGCGTTCTTTTGAGGCAAGTCTTGCCTGTATGTGGTAGCCTCTCTTAGTTTTGCAGAAATGAGTGCAAAGATAGTAGCTTTGTTGAAATGTGGAAAAGAAAGGGAATTTTGAAGACTTTTTTATCTAATTTATTTGTTCAATGTGATATTACTTGGGTTTATTATGTTGTTCCTTTGGACAGCATGGTGACTTACTTGGACAGCATTCCTCACAAACAACATTCCTCAAGAAATCCAACCAGAATCTTCAAGGTGAACTATCTGGCTCTTTACTTGGACAGCATTCCTCTCAAACAACAGAATGCCTGACATAAGGAAGCCAAAATTTTGAGACATTAACAAGAATGGGGGAGATTTTCTTTGGAATTAATGTTTTTTGTGATATGGTTTTGAAAATTACAATTACATCAGCTTTTTTTGTATGAAACTGTCCATTTGCTGTGTTACAGGGGCAGATTGGTTCTATCTAGGTACAAATGTTTGTTAGTTTTTTTGTATATTGAGGCAATCACCCAAAGTTGTTTGTTGTTTATTGTTTGCTGGTTTTTGTGAACTGATATGATACAGGACTGTAAACCATTCTGATTCTGTCTATTACTGGTTTTTGTGAACTGATTCTTTTTTTATTACTGTTTATTGAATTCTGTCTATATCAGTGTTCTTTCAAGCTCATCAATATATGTTGATCCGTATCAGGTTCTGGAATATATTGCATGTAAAAAGCATATTGATACAGGTTTAGGAAATACTACATGTGGAAACAAGCAACATAGATTTTGGTCAATGACATAATAATATATTAATTATGAAAAAAAGAGGTACATTGCTGTGTTCATGGAAACTCAGGCCTCAAATTCAGATACAAAGATCAGTTTAAGATACAAAAACTCAGTAAGGCAGCCCTCGACTTTAAATTCTATTCTAAACACTAAAACCTTCTACACTAACAATATAGAAATATATATCATGGCCACAACAAAACACTTCAACTAAAACTGTACTATTTGTTGATTCTCTTTGCTTTCTTTCTCTGCCATGCCGAGGCCTTGCACTACACTTTCCAATTTCATAAAATGGAGTGAACAAAAATAGACGAGCTCCTCCCCTTGAACAAGTTATTTGGATGGGCAGGAGTGCTTAAAACAGAATATGCAAAAATAGATGAGCCCTTTCACTTAAACAAGTTATCTCAATAGGTAGGAGTACCCAAATCAAAATCCACAAAAACAGACGTAATTTTGCCCTTGAACAAATATCAGTATAGCCAGGTGTACTAAGACCAAGTCAAGAACTACTGCCAGGCCTGACTATTTCCTGGAAATCTGCGAAATTAAACGAGCTCTTCTCCTCAATCATATTAATTTCACTGAGACCAAGTAAATAATTACTACCATGCCTCGAACCTAGCACACAGGATCAACTGATATTTGTTACTTTTGTAAAGGTCACTTATTCTTCCCAGAGTAATGATTCAATTCGATCCATAATAATTATTTTAAAATAAAAAATTTACTACCATGTCTTTGTTGATCCAGGTTCTGAATGAAACATGTAATCCAATTATAACGTTACCATATGCAAAGGAACTTAATAATAACCAAAATTCGGCCTCAATAATAATAATGATAATAACTTTCTCACATCAAGACAAAAGGGTTTTCGCCCATTTACTGAACTTTCACATATGCAGTACCTCATTTTTCCTACATTTCTAGGCATATTAAAATAACTTTCCATTATTTCTTTTTTTTTTTTTCCGAAAAGCAAAGGAGCTTTCCATTAATCATATAGAATCCATGCGAGCTTCCTAAACAGAATAGATAAATCAAATTTCTTACTTCTAATTTCAAACCCACATTAAATAATAGGATGATAAATTATGTAAATTGAGCTAACTAAATATATAGGAAAAAAAAAAAAAACTTTACCCATCTATCAATAAAAAGGGGCAAATGTATCTTTTGGATTATCTGAGCTCATGGAGGTCTTGATCGGAACCGTTGCATCGCAAGGGCAGAACTTACTCAGCCGAAATTGGAGATGTGTTATGCCGACTGCTTGAAGGCTCGACATGACTTCGCTCCTATGGATTCTGAAACCCTAATGGAGAATTTTGGGGGAAATGAAGGAGGGAGGAGGCAAGTGAATATGGAAAAACCCAACTAAACCCCTAATGATTTTGGAGAAATCTGTTGAGCAAAAAGATTTTTTTTTTTTTTTTTCAAATGGAATGGGTCCAACTTGGAATGAAAGTTAGGTTGCTTTTTTTTTTAAATAAAGATAATTTTTTTAGGTTACTTTTATATAATTTTTATATATTATTAAATAAATAAAAATAATTAATTATTTAAATAATATATAAAATTATCTTAAAATAATATAAAATATCTCTAAATTATTTAAAAAATAATTTAAAAATAATTTTTATTATTTTTTTACAACTTTGTATGTTAATTAAATTTTTTTTTTTAAAATTATCATTTGTCATTTTACGTGCCTACGTGTGTGTGTGTGTGTTTTTTTTTTTTATTAATTTATTTACACTGATGGTGTCCCTTTCCAACTTTTGTGCATATACTAAAACTAATCCCCACTCGAGCGATCATAAAGCCCACCTTCCGCATTAGCTAATATATTTAAAAAAATTAAGTTTTTTTAATGCTGTTCTAACACTTTTATTTTAAAACTAATCTATAAAAATACACTTGTATAACTGTAGGATGTACATACGCATGTATATGCGAAAGAGCTCCAAATGCTAAGCCTAAATCCAGAACTAGTGGGCCAAGCAATTATTATTTTTCTGAAACGGGTCCATCATGACGAATAGCCAGGCCTTAAAACTAGTTAGGAACTAAGCCCAAAAGAAGTGTAGGCCTAGCAAGGTAAGGCCAAGAAAAACAGACATGACCCAAATGAAAACAATGGACTCTGCAAAAAAAAATCTGTTTTCGTCGTCGGTGGTGTTTCTGACTTCCTGCTACTCTCCAGCCACCACTGCTCCCTCTGGTGCGCATCTCTGCCTTCGATCATTGAATTCTAGTTCGGGAAGGAAGCTTGTAGGTGGAATTGATGCTATTTTTTAAATTAAAATCGGTTTTTGATTGTAATTTTTTCTGTTTTCTATGGATTTGAGTCTATCTTTGGTATCAAAGTTCTCAGTAGCCATGTGATGTGATATATTATTATCTGAATTTTGTTCTTTGATTGAAACCCATTAATATGCTCTGTGATTTTGCAAAAAATTGCAGATTTTATACGATTTCTATATTGGAATCTTTGTTTTTTAGGTGTTAGGTTACTGAGAGTAAGAATTGTTTATCTCAAATAGAAAGATGGGATCACATTCTGGACCTAGGTTGGGAATCTATCTTTGTTAACATAATAATCTTTTTTGGTTTTTTGTTCCATCTTAGATTGTGGAAAAGGTTTTAGGGTCACATAGATGTTTTAGGCATTTCTTTATTTTGTTAAATGTAAATTTTTTGTGAGTAATTTTTAATCTCTTGTTAATATGGTGATAGTGACACTGAGGAGGAGGAGAGGGATTATGAAGATGAGGTTGAAAACCAATTGTTAGCAGGATGATGATTAATGAAGAATTGCATGCAAGTTGGGACCAGCCAACCAGGTGTATTGTCTTCTACAATGTTGAGCACACAAGACTACAGGGTGTTGACATTCCAATTGACTAAGAAGCTGTTAGTTCTTGTTGAAAGTAATGAGAGGGCAGTAGAGGCAAATATTGGTGGTGGTGGTGAATTGGATCTGCCCATCATTCAGTAAGAAAACCAGGATTATGCAGATGGGATAACTTCTACTAGTGGTAGGTGGCAAGACATGTCTTTCGCTCACTGGAGACAAGGTAGTGGCGGGCGTACACGATATGGTGCTGGTGGTGGAAGAACATTGGCTTTTGGTCAAGCTACTAGAGGAAGCTATTGGTCCGATCAGTTGTGAGGAGCAGGTGGATATTCTGGGAGGATTGCTCCATCGGTTAAAGGTTCCCAGATGGATGCGCCAAGCTGCATGGACAATCTTAACCATGGGGTGCATACTTTAATAATCATAGTAGCAAACGATTGGAGGAAGGGACTAATTTTTAGGGAATTCTGGTTTTGTTTCTAAAATTGTAGTGGACCAGATCATATGTTTTGTCTTGAAATGTTTCTAATCTATTTGTTGATCTCCAAAATTTTGGAATGTAGTTCTTTTAGAAATGGATACTTAACTTCACCACCATTTCTCTGAACCATCCTTCTTCAGTACTTTTGTTTGTTCAACATCCTTGACTGTGGTTTCTATTGCCTCTTTACTAGCTTGTTTTGTTGAATTGACATGCGAAGATCAAAAGCTAAGCGTCCTAGCTATATGTGAACACCAATTTCCTTGTATGTGAACTCAAAAAATTATGCGGGCACCAGAAGAATTCTATTGCATAACAAAGACAAAGTGGCAATAAAATGAATGTTCACTTACAACCAAGCATGGACCTTAGAGTTGCTACGGTGCCAACAAAGACAAACATAAAACAAAGACTCATTTAGACCTACTCAATCTTCTTTTTCCCAAAGAAGAATGCTTTTATTTTGTTTGCCTAGGACATTTTCTTACTGAAAATTGGTGATCTATAAGTTAAAACATAAATCTCGACAAGCAGAGGAAATTGCAACCACGCAAACAAGCTGACTGGAATGCTCGCAAGCAACATAGATGGAATGATAATCCACCATTGGTTTTCTAGCATGAGAAAAATAGCCGAGCAAAATGCTATCATCATTGCTGCAAGAGAGACAAACAAAATAGAAAGCCCAGCCATCAACTTCTTGGGAATAGATTTATGGAAATCTTCCATGCTGTAACGTGATGTGAGAAATCCCAAAAATATTATTACTGAGGCAGCTGCAGCAAACAGAGAGATTGCATCGGATATTATGTATAGTAGAAAAGCTGCTTTGTTTTTGAATATTGGAAATCCCTTATCTTCATCGTTACCACCAGGAAGGGTAAAAGCTGCCGCGAACATTATGGTGATGATGAGAGCACCTACAATTATATATGATTTTGCTAAGTTTTTCATCCAATCCTTTGCTTCCTTAAGCAAAGCCTTGTGCTCTTTAGCCAAAACTTGGTAAGCAGTTTCACCATTCCTGTTTTTGGCTTCTTTTTGATGTTGACTAACAAGGCTTTCAACCTCCTGCATTTTTAAAATTAATAATTTAAATGTGAAATCTTATATTCACATACATACATACATATATATATATATATATATAATAAAGCAGCAAAGACAAAGAGGGTTTTTTAGAGAAAAAAAAAAGACTTTAATTGATGACCTAAGTAGAATAATAGTAAAACCTAATTTAATTTAATTGTTACAAAGAATTAAATAAAAATGTAAAGAAAAATCCTGCAATGGACCGGATGAGGCTCAAGTGAATTTAGATTCTGAAGATGGAAAGGAATGTTTTGTGAGGCAGTGTTTTTGGCTTCTAGTTGATCTCAATGAAAAGATGAACAATGTTGATTTCCTTAGCATATTACATTTTTGTTTTTAGTGGAGCTACTGTTGTGTTATATATTAGCTAGTTTTCAACTCCTAATGTCATTTTGGAATTGTGCTGCTCTTAATACATGTTATGAAGAAAATTTTACATAGTTGGACTTTCCTTGTATATAGTCCTAAGTAATATAATTTATGATTAGCAAAAATGATTGATTTTCATTACGTACCTTGAACCATTTTATCTCTCTTTGCAACTGTAGAGCAGCACCAGAAATGCAAGAAAGTTGGGAATGAGAAGCCAATTTACCTGCGATATGTAATACATTGTTATCCTGTCGATCCAATACATTAATAAGTAACTTGCCAAGGGGGAATCCAATCATAAAGCGAGCAATTTTCTCCTGACGAAATGCAATAGCATCCATGAGAATGTTTTTACTTATGGTATCATCAGCCGCTGGTATCGGTGTAGTGAGTAAGTCTGCATTAGTTTCTACAATTTCACTTAAAAAATCAATAATGCCATTCTCAATCGCTCTGGTGAGTGTTTTTCTTGGTGCAATCAATTTCTCCAATTTCGTGAAGTGTAATTTTGTCAAGTGCTGACAGATCAAATGTAGACTCGCACGAGCAAAGCCATGACTCAACATTAGAGCATGTGTTTGCTTTATGCCTAAAGTAAGAATTAAGATAAAGTATTAAGAATAGAAGTAAAAGATTAATTAAAAGCTTGATTTTGTTTATCGAAAAAATGAAAAAAAAAAAAAAAAACTTGATTGTGTTATACCTAAGAATGGAAGGAGGATTGAAGCCAATCTCCATAGTCGACCTAATAACCAAAAAATATATATAATATTAAAATGGAGAAAATTCAACATATCTGAATAATTTCAAAAATTTTTGGATAAGAGCAATGCTACATTGCGAATAACTTGACTCCATATTAACAAATTAATACTGAAACAACATTAAATTAACAAGAAACAATACGATATATATTCAATGGCATATAATGAAATGAGGTCATGTAGATAATTAAAATATAACTAATGATTATACATGAGTAGAATGCCTCTTGTACTTGAGAATAAAAAAGTTGATTTTGCTTTTCAATATATATATATAGATATATAAAGGGAGAGGAAGTAGAGCAAACCTGGCAATCGTATCTCTGCAAAGCGTTTTTCTTCTCGATCAATGGTAACAACAAAAAAATTGCTTGGTGTGTGTACTTTCAAACCTTTTAACAACAATAATTATAAAATTAAATTAATCACTCAAGAAAAACAATTGGACCATATAAGAGAAAAGAAATTAAAAAAAAGAAAAGAAAAAAAAGAGGGATGCTGCATGCATTAACATGTAGCGTGATTGGTTATAAAAATACATTTCTGATTATTTTATGAGATTACCAACAAAAACAATCAAATTTATGAAAGAAAGAAATAAAAGAGACAAAAGCGGGGATCGATGGAAGTAATTAAGGCGAAAGAATAAACGATACTCACACTCATAGATCCATCGTTGCCAAAATGTTAGCCCACTTCCACTGCTGAATGCTGCTGGCGATCGGGCAAATCCATCCAAAAGATCCTTCCAATATTCATTAATTAAACTTTGATGATGGTGAAGTACATCAAACATGATATCTACACATATTAAAGTCATATATTAAAAATATTGTCATTTTATATGTTTGATTACAGTATAAAATTTCATTTTGCATGGTTGAACTTCGCATGCTCTTACCAAATCTTTTGGAAGCAAAACACATGAGAAGTAAATTGAATCCTTGTTTTCCGTTTTCGCTTAATGAGAGTTTGAATGAGGTTTCACAATAGAGAAAGTCTGTCACCTCCTTATGCCCTGCTTTACAGGCCGTCACGACCGGGATTCCTTGATCTTCATCTTCCATAGAAAGCAAAGTGGAATCCTTACTAACCATGTATTCTGCAATCTCGGAGTTTCCATATCGAGCAGCATATCTTAGAGCTGTATTATTCCACGGATCCCTTTGCACTGCAGGCGTACGCTCAAGCAATGCCCTGACAATGTTTGACTTGCCAACAATAGTTGCATAATGAAGAGTAGGGTATCCCATCCATAATACCAATTTTTCTGCCCCTGGATTTCTATTAAAAAATTCCATTACAGCATTAACATCCCCTTTGTTAATTGCATTCTGAACAATTAGGGATTGAGGCCTTTCCATAGTTTGGAAACCTGCAAGGATTCAATTAAAACAGATATTATGTGAGTAAGTTCGATTGAAATGGGGTTGGAGAATGCCCCTTGTCCCTTAATAAAATTCATTCCTTTTGGCTGATAAAAATAAAAATTTAAATTTAAATGATTTTGAGGCAATATATATTATGATAAACAACATTTGAGACATGTATTTTATTGGCAAAAAAAAAAGACGTGTTTTAGTAATGTTTCATTTAATGTAATAGCGCAGAGTTAAAAATAAATTAATATATTTTTTCTGATAAAAGTATTATAAGAGTTTATTTCCAATTTGTGTCAAGATTAATAGGATTTAAGTACACGTATTAAAATGCAATAAAGACATGCATGCATTAATTTTGCAATGAAAAGATAAGCATTTACTGTATTTCTTTACTCCATATCCATTCAACTTTAAATGATGATAATTTGCACTAAAATTTGGGACTAAAATGGGATCAATGACATAGCATAAACTAAATTATTTAAAATATTAAAAAATAAACTTTGTATTACTTAATAATTGGTTTTTTTTTTTAATTTTTTAAGATCAATGATAATATATACATCAACTAATTTAATAACGTTTGACATAAACTATATTATTGATCTCAAAATTTTCTCTTCCCTATCATTACCTTTCAAGTTTAGTCAATCTAGTTTTTTTCATAAAGTACTAAAATAATTAATTGATAAAATATTATATTTATCTTTAATTAATCACTATTTAAGTAAGATTTCTTATTTAATATATATTGAAAATAAAGATAAAATAAAAATGAAAATTATAATTTTTTAGACTTTTTTCTAAATTATAATTTTGAGAATAATTTTTGAAATACTCCTTTTTTAATTAGATTTAACTGTTTCAATTTAATTTTTGCATAAAATTTAATTAGATAATTTTATATAGTAAATAAATAATAATTAAAATTTTTTTCTATATATATATTTATTGAATATTTTTATTTAA